GGAGGAAGGGTCAGAGCTGAAGTGAACTAACTATGCATTTAAAACAAATGACCCCTTTGTCATTCATTCAGTCAACAAGTATTTGACTTGAGCATTTACTATGTGCTAAGAGATATGATAGATGCTAAAGATACATCTCTGTTTTCATAGATCTTGCAGTTTATTAGAGGAGACCAACATTTACAAACAACTTACAATAAATATTTACTTGAAACAGGGTAAACATATTCAAGGAAAAGTGTCGTTCCCGACCCACAGAAACGACAAGACGCCCTGGTTGTTCTCACGCAGCTGCCCTTTATTGCTGTTGCTCAGTGCTATTTACATTCCCAGCAACCAATCAGAAACGCCCCTCCTCCTACCCCCCAGCCTACTGGGGTCCAATGGTGCTTATTTCCTCCCTGGCAGCTCTCCAGCGATAATGCGGCATTCTGGGCTTGCAGGCGTCCCAGCGCCATCTTGTAATGGAGGACGGTGCCTCGGCCGTAGGCCCGCCCCTGACAAAAAGATACAGGTGTTCAAAGTTTATATTATGTGTGAGTAGAGAGACTGAGAGGGTCTGACATGGTGCTCAGTCTTGGGTGTGATGAGTTGCAAGAAGACTCACGCCATTGTAAGGCATGACTTATCCAAACTCCCCACAGTGTGGCTCTGTGAGGTTCATCCCTGAAGATAATTATCTCTGTTGACATAATCTTAGTGGTCCTCCATTGGCATCTACTAAAAGTTCATTGTGTCTGAGGACCTGCTTTTTGAAACTCACTTTTGGTTAGCCTGCTGAACATCATGGTCATTATCATGGTTATCATTATTATTTTTATTTTTTAATTATCGAGGCAACATTGATTCACCATGCTTAGGATCATTAAGTACAAGATCACACCCACCGCCTAGACATCCACAAGCTTCTATCATCATTACTTTTATCTTATAATCTTCATTCAGAACATCACCAGTACCAGCACCACCATCTTTTACAATTCTTTTAAAAATACTACATTTGTATTTAACCCCTGGTGGTGCAACAGGTTAAAGTGCAGCACTGCAAAGCTAGTCATAGCTACTTCAGCACGAGTTTGATCCCCTGCCAGGGAGGTGACCCACATGGCACGGCAGATCTTTCTTGTCTTGCCCACTGCTCCCTCAGCAGTGTAATGTTGATCTGCCTGTTCTGCTCCCCACTTTGTCACTGGTGAAGCCTTTCACTGTCCCTGCACCTCTGACATGTGTCCCAGTTCTGTATGAGTAAATAAATAAATCTTTAAAAAAATTATTTATTTTTGTGTAGAAGAAATGGGGTATAAGCCAGTGATACAAGTGGTGAGAGAATTCATCAGAGAAAAAGTGAGGAACAAAACAAGTGGATTTACTGAAATACATTGCTAAGAGGAGCAGTGGGCAATACAGGAGAGGTCTGCTGCACCCTGTGGGTCAGCTCCCTGGCTGGGAATGGATCTCAGGCCACAGTGGTGATAATGTGATAGTGAGACTCCTAGGCTACTACGGAGGTCCTTACAATTCTTGAATCCTGTTTTAATCTTCTCCCCATTCCTACAAAAAAGCAATATTATTCACTTTTTTTTTTTATAAATAAGAAAACAGAGAGGTTAAGTAACTTGCCAGAGGTCACATGATTAATAAGAGTAGTTCTGGGATTCCGGGATTACAAAATCTGCTCTCAAGCAGTTCCCAGTATGTACTCATAGATGGCTCTGAATGGACCTTTTTAAAAATCCTTAATAAGCATTTTTTTTCTTGAATTTCTTGGATCTCTTAATGGCCTCTCTTGGGAAGCACTTGGGAGGAGTCATTAGAGAGAAGATTCTATTATTTATTGCCAAGCAGTCATCTTTAGCCATTACTGGGACTCAGGACTCGCTGTATATTTGCTCCTTTCAGAAGAGAGTCATATAATGGGGTTCTCTGGAGGGATAGTGTCTCCTCTCTTTCTTCAAATTATACTGTCTAAAACCATCACCCCCAGTGATAATTACAGATTGAAATGCCACACTGAGTTCACCATCCAGAGCCTCCAACTTGTCTATTGAACTCAATAAAAAAAAAATCAGTAAAACCCTAGTTTTCTAGAACCTATAGGAACGTAGCATTCTGTAAAGTTTATTACTAACTGAGCCCAGATTCATCCTCTTCTATATGTTTATCTAGTTTTTCTAGCACCATTTATTGAAAATATTTTTCCCCCCACTGCTCGGGGTACATCCTTTATCATAAATCAAGTTTCCATACTTGTGGAAATTTTACTGAACCCCAAAATATTTAAGTAGCCTATTTTCCTTGCCTAAGTCTTGGTATCTGATAATAAAACCCTTGTATTTTATTTCTCTGAAGACTGCTTTGTATATACTTGGTCCTTTGCATTTTCATACACAGTTTTGAATTAGCTGTCAACATCACAAAAACCATGCTAGGACTTTCATTTAGATTGCACTAAATCTAAAAATCAATTTGAGAAGGTTTTCTGTCTTTCTAATACTAAGTCTACCAGTTATCAACATGATTCAGTAAATTTAATTTCTCTGTGCTTAAACACTGCTGTGTTCAATGTGGCTCTTGCTTTTGGAAGATTTACAGATGGCTAAGCACATACACAAAATAGAATTACTGTGATAATCTCATCACTAACACTAACAGCTCATATTTAAGAGCCTATTAGATGCAAAATATTATGTGCCCAAAGAAAACATTTTAAGGACTTTGCAAGTATTCATTCATTTACACTACATACTGATACTTTGAGTTAAGAGCTACTATTATGCCCATTTTATAGGTATGTTTAAACTTCACAGGGCCCAAAAGTAAAGAACACCTAGATCTTGGTAGGGAAGTCAGAGAAAACATCACACAAAACAGTGAAAAATTAGCTGATCTCTGAAGAAGTTTGCCAGGAATGGAGGAAATAGAATATTTCAGGCACATAGGTAGCATGTGGAGGAAAAAATAAAGTAAAACATTGTGAAAGGATGTAGCTTTTCAGAAACCTGCCTGGAGGTGACTCCCAAGACTGAGATGAAGTGTGGCAGGAAGTGGGCAAATGGCTGGTACTGCTGGAGAGGGGGGTGTTCACAGGCTTTTCAGTCCATGTTTGAGCTTTTTCCTCGCAGCAGTGGCTAGGTAGTAGGGATTGACCGACTGAGGTTGGGTCCCCCAGAAGTGGACCTGCCCAACCCTTCCTAAGATAGGTGCCTGAGGGGAGTTTCAGTCTGAGCCTGCAGGACCATTTTAAAGTGTCAAGTTCCCCCTCAGACTTGCCCATACCAATAAAGGGAGCGGGGACGCTCCTATTAGGCCAAATGGATGCCAGAGACAGAGTAAAGATCCAAGGTGCTGGCCCTGCAAGCAAAGGCATGTCAGCACCTGCGTCACATTAAAACAGTAGACAGGAACTTGAGGTGATCTGGGAGGAGCATCTTTCCTGGCAGCTTCTATGTTCTCTCTCCCCTTGCTGCAGAATTGTATATAATGACCTTGAAGTCCACTTCTCTCCACTTTAGACAGCCTTGAACTTCTTTGGGGCATTCTGCTGTCCCTCAGAGACCTTATCTTTTTCTCCCTCTATCATACATAACCTTCATTTTCTTTTTGCATGATAAATAATGAAGGATTTCCAACTCAGAAGATTGGGGCATAAAAAGGAGAGGTGAACATAATTGTTGACAAGTCCTTTGAGCTTGATTTTGAAGAAAACATGGTTCTCTGGGTAGACTTGGGAAGAAAAAATAGGACATAGAATCCAAAGTCAGCTATTTTCACAAGCAATCCCCCACAAAATAAGTTTACTCCAGTTTATGCAAAGTACAATATGGATGTTTCTGGTAGATGGTTATTCAGAAACACATCAGGTAGGTCTACTGTTTTCTCTTGAGACATCAGCAGCCTTGATTCATCTCCTGTGTTCAGCAGGCAAAGGTGGAAGAAGATTGAATGATCATGAGGGAAGTTTGTATGTGCCAAGGGTAACAGGCTCCCAACACACAAGAGACTGTCCTTTCCTCCCTGGGGAAAGAAACAAATAAGGCTTTATTTGAGGCCCATGCATGATGGGACCAGTGCCAGAAAGGAGAACTTAGCTTGGTTCCAAGGAGGGAGTTAGGAGGAGACATTTAAAAGTAGGTCCATGAGGCAGGGAGGAAGAGAGCAGACTCATAGCTTTCTGGGCTGGGCTGTGTCTGGGCATAAGCAGATGGGTTATATTCCAACTACCATGTGAGCTCTTGGCCTTCTCCTTCCAGGAAATTGTGAGATAATCATTAGTCAAGATCTAATGCTTTTGTCTAGCAAAGCACCTTATGGCCAGCGTGGTGGGCCAAATTGTTTGCACAGGATATTGGGACAGAGCTCACCAGTCCGTGCTTTGGTCCACCTGTTCAGATAGTACATTGGACAACTCTTACCTTACGGGATCATGATTTTTTTGGCTGATACTGTCTCAAAGGCTTGAAGTGTCATGCAGAGTATCTGCCCTGCCTTTCTACTGGCAGAACTGGAGTTCATACAGACCTAACTACAAGCAAGACTGGCGATGTGATCTAGTTGAATATCCACAAGAAAAATGAAAATGTGTTTTGGAGAACACAGACTGTGCCGCAAAGAGCATCCTGTGGGAGTTTAACTGTGAGCAATTAGACTTCTCTTGGGCCTAATCGAATGGCAGTATAATATTAGCTAATTACTAAGGTTGGAGGTTCTGGTCATGGACTGTACCAAATTGTGGCTACTGGGAGATAGTTCATCACAACTTTTATTATTTCAAGAAACAATGAAGTAAGATTTCTGACATTTAGCTGGTTCTAAAATGTAGAGGGAGCCAGGCAGAGTGAGTGAAAATTTCACCACTCAACTGGACAAGTCTTTTTCCACTGTCGACCTCCCCTTCTACCCATAGGTCTGGGACGTGGATAGAGAGCTCATGTCCAGCCATTGGACAACAGATGGAAGACAATCGATACCTATGCATATAATCTATTTTCTTCTCTCCACAGTGACACTTTCAGCTGCTACTCCCTCCTACTTTCGAGGATTCACATTAATTGCCCTCAAGGAAAACAGAGAGGGTGATAAGGAAGAAGACCATGCAGGGACTTTCCAGGTAAGACCCCCTCCTGGGCTTATCCAGTGGCCCTACCTTAACCTGAAGGCAGGTCAAAACCAAGTAAAAGGTGGACACAGAGGAACCTGAGTGAAGGGAGAAGCACAGTGTTGAGGAGTCTCAAGTGCAGTTCCCGTGAGAACTGGCTGCGCGGGCCACGTAGCTTTGAAAGACCCACACTGGAGTAGATCGCAGATACTTCAGTCTAACTTAAAGGCTTCAGAACTGACCCCAGGCCGGGCCCACTTTGTCCAGCAATCATGGCACTCTCCTCTGGGCTCCGGTGCCTCTATCCCGATGAGGGTGCTGGGGGCTGCCTGTTTTTCCTTGCAGCCATGTTGTGATTGACTATTCTCAAGTGTACATGGAACAAGAGCTTAGGATGGCCAGATTGGAGGGAGTTCAAAGTACAGGAGAAGGACTATTAAGGGAAGGAAGAGATTGATTTATGAGGGAAGATTAAAAGAATTAAACATGCTTTGCTTTGCTAAATGAACAGGGCCAGGTTTAAGAGGTGGTAATGGTCTTTAAATGTCAGTTCTCCTAGAGCAACCTCCTCCAGGGGAAGCTTCGTTTGATTTTGTAGTAAAGGGCACAGCAAGACAAAAGTGGGTCAAGAGAAGAAAGGGAATCTCAAAGGCAAGGGCCCTGACAGTGAATCGTGTTTCACTGTGGAGTATTTTTCCAAGGGAAGTGGCGGGAACATCATCCCCTTGCTGAGGTTTGGAAAGAGGCTTGCACGTTGTCAGCATGTCTCAGAAGGATTGGGGAGATCCTAGGAGGAGGCCTGGCCAAATATGCCGTAACCGCTTCTCATTTCAATTTTCCATTGTTCTGGAATCCTTTTTATTTTTTTTCTGGCATTTGCAAACTCAGAAGAAGAAAAAAACTCCAGAAGAGAAATACTTATATTCATCACTGGCCACAGGGGACTCTGTGGGAAGACCCTGGCCCCTAATAGCTTCCCCATCCAAAGGTATCTTTTAATTCCTTGAGGCAGGTTGTAATTTTGAATCTTGTGATTTAAAAAATATATATCCATTGTTTAGAATTTTAGGCTATTTTCTAGTGGGTCAGTTACTTCCATGCTCATGTACCTAGAAAGCAAGAACTTCTTGTTGTGAATCTCAGGAAGTCACTCAATAATAATACCAACAATGGCCAATATAGGTTAGGTCCTTAGCTTCTTCCAGACAGAAGACTAAGTGCTTTACCTTACCTTAGCTTATCTCATCTTAATTTAATTTGTATACTCTGCCTTAGTTTAATTCTCAAAACAACCAAGTCGATAGAACCTATTATCCCTATTGTGGGAACAGAAAATTATTAAAGTGGGAAATTGAAACTAAAGAGATTAAATAACTTTTCCAAATGGCTGGTAAATAGTAAGGTTGGGCTTTCTCTCTCAGGTATCTGGTTGCAAAAACTAAATTGCTTTGCTGTAGTCCGAAACAAGCTTCTACACAGTTATGTTTGCACAGTATATTGGTTGTCTTTATAGGGAAGGGAAGATTCACACAGGCGTTCAGCCCATGAAGTATTCAGACGCATCTCCTTATTGTGCTAGTTTACCTGGAAGTCTAGATATTCATCAGATTTAGGCAGCTGAGAGATCTGGATACCTGAGCAGTAGCAGAAGTAAAGATCTCTAAGATGGAAAGAATGTGAGCTTAATCTTCATCCCAACAAAATTTACTACTTTAAAATAAGAGTCAGAAGCAAATGTTTGAACGGAAATTTTATACCCATGTTCAGCTGCAGTATTCTCAATAGCGGTATTCTCAAAGGTGGAAACAACCCCAAAGTCTATTCATGGATACAGGGTTAAACAAAATGTGGTCCACACAGACAATGGAATATTATTCACCCTTTAAAAGGGGGATATTTGGACACATGGTATAACACAGATGAACTATGAGGATATCATGCTAAGTGAAATAAATTAGTCAAAAAAAGACAAATAGTCCTAGAAGGTACCTAGAGCCGTCAAAGGCATGGTCATCAGGGGGCGTGGGAGAGGAAGAAATAGGAAATTACTCTTTGGAAACAATTCATTGTAAACAACTACATAGTTTGAGATGAAGAGCAAAGGCCTGGCAATAGTCTTAATGACTACACACGAAAATGTACTTATATAAATGTACACACGAATGCCACACTTATAACAGTTAAACAAATAGATTTTACATTGTGTATATTCTGCCACAATAAAAGAAAATGATGCCTGCATTGGGCCTGATGGGGATTCAAGGGTGGGGGCGGAGGTGGGGCGTGTTGACCCCTCTGTTTCCAGCACTGGGTCCAGAGCACCAGATTTTGGAGACTGGAGTATCTGTCTCTGGCTGCCAGAAGGGAGAGACACCAGATTCTCTCTTTGATGAGCTAACTGCATCTTCTCATGGTAATTGAAAGTGACAAAGAATGCAGGGCTGGAACACTACAAAAGCGACACGCAACCTATTGCTGCAAACGAATGACTCCTTGGAATGCTCACGGCCCAGCCAACAGCCCACTCATTCGCTCACTTCCTTCAGGCCTCTGCTCAGATGTCCCTTTCCCACAGTGACCCCTTGATCATGGTATCCTCACAGTTCCTCTGTGTTACACCATGTATTCAAATATCCCCCTTTTGAAGGATGAATAATATTTCATTGTCTGTGTGGGCCACATTTTGTTTATCCTTGTACCCACTCCCCCCTCTCCTTTTGAAACTTCACCCCGCTCCTACCCAGCAGTTCCACTCTCTTTCCTATGGCCTTCATTGGCCCTGACGTGCTATTCCTTTGTTGGTTCATTTGAGTGTTATCCCCCTCTTCCACTAAATTATTAGCCTCACAAGGAGGGGTTTTCAATCTGCCTCCAGCACCTGGAACTGCCTTCCACAGAATAGACACTCAGCTATTTATCAATAGAATTTGGAATTGCTAATTTATTGTGTCATTGCTTTATTTGATTTCTAATTTAAGGTCTGTAGGTAACAGTCTGCTGGCCAAAGGCTGAAAGCCTCATTATAAAGTGGGATTTACCTGAGAAAACCCTCTATTAATACTACGTAAGCAGGTATCTTTAATAACTAAGTGTCCCAAATTCTTAATGACCTGCTTGTAAACTATTTTCATTATTTCCTTATGAGCAATAATATTTACTAGCATCGAATGGGTTGAGTCATGAGAGAAGCTGAAAGTTTTTGACATACTTTTCCAAAAATGAAATGGTATGCAAGTATGTTCTCAGGAATCCTCTTAGTTCATAGGAAAACTTTTTCTTGTTACATTCATCTAACCTATGCCCTTTATAAGATACTAGTTTTTCACTCTGCTGTTCTGCATAATAATTAATGGAGTAAAAACTGTCTCTTGCATAAAACTCTTCTCCTAATTTAGTATTATATTGCTAAAATAGATTCCCAGAAGTATAATTGCAAATGCAAGAGTATGAACATTTGAAATTTTTTGATATATATTACAAGGTTATCCCAACCCCTACCCACCCCAACCTGAAAAAAGCTGCACTCAGCACTCCTTTCAACAACCTGAATAAGGGAATTCCATCATGGGAGCCATGACCACTATTGTGAAGGAAATTATCTTCCCATGTCAGGACTGGACATCACAGAATTTAGGCCAAATCTACAGACCAGGTCTAAAAGGTGAAAGCTAGTGGAGGAGCCCAGATAATCCTGCCTACTTAGATCCCAATAACCAGTTGCTCAAGCACAAAAAGAGCGATTTGGAGTTGTGGTAGCACATTAAACTAGTGACAAAATACTTTATGAGTTTTACCTGTTTGTAAACAAGTTCAGAAAGAGCCACCCATGAGATAGGACCACAGAAAACCAATGGGATCTTAGGATGCATCCTAAGAGCATGAACAAAGGAGCTAGACGGTTTTATGCAATTCTTAATCCATTCAGAACACTGCAATGAATACTTAGCATATTAATCTTTGTCAGCCTCTAAGAGTATGTCATTATTATTAATTTCAAGAATGAAGTTGACAACAGTCTTTGTGTGCCCACACGCACACACACATCTATGTATATATTGGCCCTGCTCTTTCTGAGCTTGTCATTTAGAATTTGACTGAGAGAGCAGTGGGCACACAGATTTTAAAGACAATATAATATATATCTTTTTTTTAGGGTGCTTTTCCCAATTAAAAAAACACATATCTTATTAGTCTTCCAATTCTAGCTTAGTTCCCTATTTAGAATATACAGTGGATGTGTAGAAAGAATGTGAGTTTTAGAGTCAGCAGACCAGGCAGAGCTTTGATTTTCTCTCTACCAGCTAAATGAAGAAATCACTTGATTCCTCTGAACCTTCATTCCTTCCTCTATAAAAGAAGGGTGATGAAGGCTGTTTTGTCCATCAGATGAGATAAATGTCCAACACCTTGCCCAGACACAATGACCCCTCCATTGTCGCCTCTTCCTTCTGAAATTCAAACTAAGTTTCCCTCACCCTTGGGTCACGTCACTCACAAACCCCACTCCTGTGCAAACCTGAACAGACGTGTCATCAGAGGTATAAAGACCAGCTGTCTGAATACCAAAGGAAGGAAGAAACAGGCTTCCCTAATTCTTTCTACCTTCACCATGGTGTGATTGGGAAGGCTGTACAGTAAATGAAAAACTATAGCATTGTTGAATAGACGATATCCAGTAAGTAAAACAAACTCTGTTCCATAGGGGTGCTGGGTGGTTGGCTAGACTCAATTACTGCCTTTGTGACCTACTCCCACACAGCAGCTCCACTGAAAATGGAGTTTAAATTAAACCTGGGCAGAGACTTCACCTCTGGAGAATGGTGGACAGAGGAGATCACGGTTATCTCTTCCAGGTACTAACTAATCGGGTTGCTTTGTTTACTTTAATTCTCTCTCTCTCTCTCTCCCATGAGATCAGGGACATCTGTTTCTTTCACAGCAGCACACCTAGCCCTGGGTACAGTGCCTGCCATATAATAGATGCTCAGTGAATATTTGTCACCAAGAGAAAT